CAGGCCCAAAGAAACATAGGTCCCATGGTTTCCCTTATTTGCAATATCTAGTATATGTCTGAGTCAAGCAGAAAAGGTCAGATAAGTTGATGTTAGGGGAATGAACCCCAAGATAAGTATTAAAATGTTTTTCTGTTTTTTTTCCTTTCATGCAATTGTTTCTAACATATTTATAAGATGATTTCTTTGTTGCTTTGTATATCCCTCCCCTACGGTATAACCCATGCTTTCACTGTATTTGATGTTGGTATAATTTGTGGAGGGGAAGGAAAAAAACAAATTGTTTTACTAGGGATACAGGTGGACCCATTGCAACAATGAGATATACAAGTCGTTATGTGGAAAAATGAACTTTACAACTTTGGTAGGGGTGGAGGGAGGAGTGGGTGGGAGAGGGGGGAAGATGGGAAGGGATGGGAAGGGGAAACAAAGAGGAGGCAGCAATGCTTGATAAGAAATGTATTCGTTATCATGCCCAGGTAACTGTAACTCCTCTGTAGGGTATTCTCACAATTAAAAAAAAAAAAGAAAACGAATTTTTTTAAAAGGCTATCCCTTTCTGTCCATTTTTATTTCAACCATTTTCATAGTGACCAATTCAAAGGTATGTTTCTAGATTTGATTTGAAGTGGGAAAACTCAGTCCTACTCAACTGCTCAAAAGTAGCTTCACCTGTAGGGTAACCAAGCCCTCTGATTCTTTTAAAATTTCAAAATCTGATTTATTTTCCACTCCCACTTGTAACTTCTTCAATTTGAAAAGGATAGTACTGACACATGCCGAACTTGCAGAAAGGGCCTATAATAAAAATCCATTGACAGAAACAGAAGCAGATGTCAAGATAAGTCAGATAGACTACTACTTTTCACGTCTCAAAATAAATTTCGCCATGGTTGCCCTCATCACAATTCATATCTTAGCTAAAAAGAAATAGACCAGAATATACTTAATACTTGCAATTCCTTATTTCCAGCTTACCCAGACTGTGTTTTTACCTACGGGCCCTTGTAAGAATGTCCAGATTAAATAGTGAAAAACTAAGTATGCCTTCTCTTAGTTCCACAGGAGCCCTCCCACCCAAACCTCTGCTGCCAGTACTAATAAGAAGTGCCTAATGTTCTTAACCCAATTGCAGTAGGTCATATTCAGTGAAGAACTAGGGCTCATCATCAATATCCTCTTTTGCGCTGTCATTTTGCAAGGACATTTGTCTCATTCAGAGGCATTGAGCAGCCACAGTCTAAAATATGAGAAATTGGTCAAATGGGATGATTTTCATTAATAATTCTAGGAATCAATAATTTCTAGGAATGTTGGTCCAATATATACAGATAGATGAGTGGATAGATAGATAGATAGATAGATAGATAGATAGATAGATAGATAGATAGATAGATAGATAGATAGATAGATAGATAGAGCACGTCTGCATTAGTTAGGGCATGTAGAACAATACCTTAAGAAACACACACACACACACACACACATATCCAGGAAACAGGGTTGATAAATTGGAGGAGAATGTCAGTCTTTACTCACCCTTCTATAAAAAGAAATACATACCTTGATAATGACTTCCAAATATTTCAAAAGGCAGAAGAAGTAAGGCCATACACCACAATCCAACCTTTCCATTGATGATGGTGGCACACAGGATGGTGGCTACAACCTAGAGTCCAGGGTAAGCTGCGCAGAGATGGTGCAGTGTTGGGTAAGTTTACCATAGGCTTCTCACAATGACAGAATTTCTTAACAATGCATCCCAAAATGAGCCTGTCACTAAGCAACGATGCATGACCAGACCTTCACAACTGACTTCCTTGGTGTTTGCTGAAATCCTGGTAAGCTGAGAAATTTTGAAATGATCTATGTCCATCCAATAGAGCGTGTCAATGCAGTGGAATGGTAGTGAAACCCATCACTCCTTGTATGTTCTTACTGCAATACAAATACAGATGGAAATTTTTATTGGGAAGAATATATGAGACCAGATTTAAAATGCTGAAGGTATTAAATAGTTTGCAAACTTGAATGGAATCTGATGCAATTGACCTGCTCTATACAACCTTATAATTAGCAACACCTCACACAGCAACATACTGAAATGGGGCCCCAAACTTCATGTGTTTGTACCTTTCCTTCAACCTTTATTTTGATCATTCACATGTGATATATATCTATTGTTATTGCTACTTCCATTGAGAGAGAGAGAGAGAGAGATTTAAAATGTAGCTTCAAAACATTCTAAACCCTCCCAAATAAACAGATCCATAAGTCTTCCTTCTTGAAAGGAAGCAAGGCAGTAAAGACTTTAACCTGCTGGAAACGTTTTTAAAAACCATCTTGTCTCTGTCCCCCAGATCTTTCTGACACACCCTCCTCCCTCCTTTCCCAACATTAAACTGCTTCTCCACTTCCTTTACATTGGTGGGAACACTTCCCTTACGGGTGTCAGGATCTCTCTGAGGGGTCACAGGCTGCCCTGCAGAGGAAATGACAAGCTGTGAAATGGAAAAGAACAATTCCTTCCACATGTTGCCTAGCTCCTGAAGCAGTGAGGGGCTGTCAGCCGCCATCACCACAGACCCAGGCAGAGCTCGGCATCATAGTCCTGTCACAACTAATTTACAATTAAGGACCTTCGGGACTGGTTAAAGCTCTTTCAATTCCAGCAGTTTTCAAAAATGACTGGGATGGAAGTAGATCAAACAACAACAAAAACACCACTGTTATAATGAGCCATGATGAAGGTAAGGGATTGTGAAAGCAAGCCAAAGATGAAAACTCATTACAAATAGTCATCTTAAAGAAACCCATTCATGGTCTGCTACATACGGCATTTCCAATTCACATCCCTGTGAAATCTGTCCAGCTAAGCCTCAATCTAAGAAGTTAATGTTGACAGAGATAGTCACTAGACACTGTGGAAAATGAACTGCATATTTTGTGGGTAGGGATGGGAGAGAAAGACCGGAAGAGAGCGAAAGAAGGGGAGATGTGTTTCAAAAAGAATAGTATTCATTACTCATTCCCTGATTTTTGTAACTGTAACCCCTCTGTATATCAATTTTATAAAAACAATAAAAATAAAAGGAAGGAAGGAAGGTAAGAAGGAAGGAGAGAAGGAGAAGGAAGAAAGGAGAGAAGGAAGGAGAAGGGAGGAAGAGGGAGGAGGAAGAAAGAAGAAAAGGAAGGAGAAGGGAGGAAGAGGGAGGGAGCAAGAAAGAGAGGGAAGAAAGAGGGAGGAAGGGAGGGAAAGAGGAAGAAAGGAAGAAAGGGAGGGAAGGTTTTCTTATGGATAGATGTTGGCAAAAAATGATTTAAATACTTTAAAGTACTTTGAAACTTTTCAGTAACTTAAAATATTTTGTGCATTTCCATATCTTAAATAAAAGCTTTTAAAAATGCAGGTAATTAGCATTTATGCAGATTAATCACTTTGAAACATACTGTGGTTTCCCTGAGGCTCAATTTTGCACTCAGTTGAAGGACTCAGATCCATGTATGCTATTTGAAAATCAAAAAAATCCTAGGGAACAAATGCTATAAAGTCTACAGTCCACCTCACAGCTTTAACAATAATGCTTTTGACAGTCATTCCAAAACCTTAAACTCACAGATATATTTTATACAAGTACTCATTCCTTAATAATTATCTGAAAGCGACTACAGCTTTCCATCACACAGTTATTTAGGAAGCCAGCTTACAAACTCAGATCCAATTTTTAAAAAACAAACTACTGTGCACTGGACTCATTATTCTTCCACAAGAACAGGCCAGCAATTGGCTGAAAACATCATTTATATGTATGGATAGGTATATGCTTATGTACATATATATGTATTTAAATGTACTTATATATATGACTATATGTATATTTGTGTTTATCTCTCTATGTATATCTATATTTGTGTTTATCTATAGTTATGATTGGAGATAATTAATAATATCTGAGAAAAGGCTAAGAATGAAGTTACACACCTGTGTAATGACAGGAAGGTCATTAGTTTAGAGTAGCCTTGGCATAGCAAGATCTGGTCTCCAAAAAAAAAAGGAGTTGTCCCAAGAATTTGAAAATTTGACGAACTTTGATCACATAAAAGAATATGAGTCATTGTGCTCAACAGAGGAGATGATAAAACTAAATTTTGTGTTCAATAATGAACAAGTTGGTCAATCAATGTTATGATTTCCATTTCTATTACAAAATATTTACATGTGAACAAAAGTAGAGTACCAAAATGTAGGTCTTGATCAAGATGCAAAGGCAGACCTCTTAGCAAATAATGCTAGACAAAGTTAACATACATACACAAAAACAAAGGCCAAAAATAGCAACTTTAACTTTGTATCTCATTCGTAACTTGCTTCAAATGGTCCAGCAAACTAAATGCAAATGAAAACTTTCTGAAGAAAACATAAATGAATTGTGACATACGTTCTTAAGTTAAACAATCCAACAATTGCACTTTTAAATATATAGTCAATACAAATAAATATTATACTTACAAACAAAACCACATAGATTAATATTAATAGCTACTCTACTTATAATTACCCCAAATGGAAACCATCCTGCTGTCCTTTAATATGTGAATAGATAAAACTCCCAGATGGGATGGAAGGAAACATTATTCAAAGGTGGAAATCATTGTGCTCTGTTTTAAAGAACTAAAGAAAACCATAGTAATCAACAGCTTCATATCTGTGTTCTCAACTCCAAATCACCAGAAAGACTTTTATCACCATACTGAGGTTTTGGTCCCTGATGCCAGAGAATTTGATTCCTTTCATCTTGAGGAGAGGACAAGCACCAGTATTGGTTAAAATCTCCTCCAAAGAAAACTCTAATATGTACACAAGGTTGAAAAGCAATGCATTATTAAGTTTATTGAACTGTAGATATAGGCAAGCTTATACTAATTATAAGTAGACTTGGCATATAATGTAGTCTCATTTTGGTTGGTTTTGATGATGACAAACACTTTTTATTCTAGCTAAATTGAGGTGGTCTGCTTTTATACTAGAAGGCTGCAACCCCTAAATTGCTTTCCATGTATTCAGCACTCAATGCAGTGCAGATGCCCTGGATTTATGAGGAGGATACACCCTGATAAAATTAGCCACAGTGAAACATATTCCAAATTGAAAATGTATATAATCGACCTAACCTCACCTCTGAGCTTGGTGAGGCAGTACATTGTAGAATGTGGTTTCCCCTTAGGACTGAATTCCTCATGTGGTCCCTAGCCACTGCCCAGAATCATGAGAGAGTCTAGCACTCTCTTATGCTATCTTGGGAAAAGATCCAAATTCACCATTCAAAAGAAGACTTCTACTGAATTCGAATAGCTTCCATGCTATCCATGAAAAACCATAATTTAAAACCATCCTAAGACCAGAATTATTTATAATCAAAAATGATTCTTTGTTTCCTCTGCTAGTAGATATTAATTATCAGAATTGATGAGCAAACTTTCATAAAGAAAAGAAGGAAGAGGAGGATGAAAAGGAAGAGGAGGAGGAAGAAGATGAAGAAGAAGGAGGAGGAAGAAGAAGATGAGGAAGAAGGAGAAGGAGGAGAAGGAGACAGAAGGAGAAGGGGGCAGAGGAGGAGGAGGAGGAGGAAGAGGTGGAGGAGAAGGAGGAGAAGAAAGCAAGGAAGGAAAGAAGAAAGAAGGAAGGAAGGAAAGAAGGAAGGAGGGAGGGAGGAAGGGAGAGAGGGAAGGAAGGAAGGAAGGAAGGAGGAAGGAAGGAAAGAAGGAAGGAAGGAAGGAAGGAAGGAAGGAAGGAAGGAAGGGAGGGAGGGAGGAAGGAAGGAA